TGTTTTCCATCTTCTGACATAGGAACTGGCCTGGAGCTTGTCTGCTTGGCTGTGTCTTTCCTGAGCAGCCATCTCTGGAGCGAGTTAACAGTTACCTTTTGTATATCTGCTTTCTTTTTGTATGCCTGCAGTGTGTCTCGACAAATGGCCGCTCACACTGAACCTGATCTGCTGGCGGTTTCTTCCTGTTAAAGGGAGTTTTTCCTCTCCATTGTTGCAGCATGCATGCTCTGAGGTAGGGATTGCTGAAGAGTCAACAACAAAATGCAAGAAAAAATCCTTGCAGCAAGCTCTTTCAGGAGTCTTGAAGGTCAGTGACTCAATGCAATTAACTTGTTTTCCTTGACAAAAACCACTCAGATATTGTATCGTCAAAGAGTCTTGTGATGACGTGTTGTGAAGTGGCGCACACGAATAAATTGAATAGATGAATATTGCTATAGTTAAATGCTGCAAAGCCAATCTGTTACCTAGGTGTTAACCTATACAGCTAAGTAGACTAGAGACTCAACAAGCCTGCCACTTAATTTGTCAAGTATGGTAGATCTGATTTTTTAAAAATTATTATTATTACAACTTTTCTAATATAAGTAAATGCAATGTTAAATTGACTTTGATGCTAAAAACCTTTGATATTTTCTGAAACTGTACCATATATTCAGCTAAATATATAACATATGTATAACATAGTTCCAAAATCTGAGAGAAAATGATCAATTAAACCTACATATTAAACCTTCAGCCTGTTTTAGCCATTCATTAAAGCATACAGATGAGTGGATATTGTTAGTCAGAGCTATTAAGGATTAGAAGTTATGTTAAAAAGTCACAAATAAGCCCTGCACACGCACACCCAGGCGGATGACGGACATCCTGACAGACAGGAAGCAGCGCGTGAAACTCTCTCATTCCAGGAGCATCAGCTCCGCCCCCTCGATGCTGTGGTATTTCCCCTCTGCTGCTTTGCCTGTACATTAAAAGATATCTACAGTCAAAACTTTTAACAATATCGAAATTGTTTTAGTCGTAAGCTATCCCCTAAAGAACTACCAAATAACATTAAAACGAAAAATAATATCTTGTTGATAATCACATGTCCACTAGATGTCAGTCTTGCAATACAAAAGATCTGCTGATTACACTCTTTATGGCAAGACTTTTTAACATAAATTGAATGATCCTCCTGGAAGCCCATTAAAAAGATCATTACACATTTTGACTAGTCAGAATGTCAATTTAAGATATCTTTAATGGAAAAGCTGAATAATTCAAGATATCTTTAATTCATTTAGAGATATCTTAAACGGAATTTCGAATAGTCGAAATTACAATTCAAGATATCTTTAAATTTGTTTTGTCTAGTCATTATTTGTTTTTAATATAATTGAGTTTTCTCTAGTCAAAATTGCAAATCTCCTATCCTAAAATACATTTAAGATATCATGAATTATGGTGGCATTTGAGATATCTTTGATTAGAATTTTGACTAGTTAAAACTAAAATCGAGATATCTTGAAATCCCATTATGACTAGTCGTAATTTAATCATAGATATCTGAAATGTGTATTTCAGATAGTCAGTAATTCATTCTAGATATCTAAAAATGACGTCTCCATGCAAGTATATGGTAAATCTGACATCATTTCGACTAGTCAGAATTTACTTAAAGATATCTTGAATAGGTATTTTGACTAGTCAAAATATAATTTAGAGATATCTTAAATCGTTAAAACGTCTAGTCATAAAACAATTTGAGATATCTCTAACGTAAAGGCGTTACAACCAAATGTATGTTAAAATGGCATGCCATACTCTCTTTACCTCATGGCACTGTCACACATCACTGGAGTGCTAAGAGTAAACACCGACCTAAGCTAGAGTTAGGTATTAATCATTTGAAGGTCATTTGTATCTTTCTTTAACTGACTTCGTCCCTTTTAGATCTTAAATTATTAATATATGGGAAATGGCTGTGTAAATGTGAAGAAGTCATCTCCAGAGATAGGAAAAAATTAACTTTAATAAATGAAAATGTCATGAAAGCTATACAAAACAAAAATTCGTTTTGTATACACTCTGTGTACACAGATTGACAATAAAAGTTTTCTAAGCCTGAGTCTAAGGTTGGAGGGAAGGTAGAGCAAATGATAATGGATTTTCCAGTGGGGCTGGTCTGGTGTAAATTGTGTTTTATTGTAATAAGCTTGTTTTAAATCAGAATCATGAAGAAAACTAAAAAGTTACAAACAAACAAAACATTTAGGGCATTACTGCCACCTACTGGAAAAGCTCTTTTACAGTATTGGTTATTTTGTGCATTTTTCACATCACTATAACCATTTTGCACAACAGCTAATGCAGTTTTTAAAACAATTAATACAAACTGCAAAACCTTGTTGATAAACTGCTAAGGCATGTCAGTTCCTAAAAATAATGTTTACCCTTTTATTTGTAAATACATGTTTTGCTTTATCTAACTCCTGATTGTTTAATTTTTCGACACTTTGCATCAGTTTCTAAAAGTTATGTGGAGGAGTTTCAAAATACTTCTTTTGCACAAAATATTTTTCTTTCATTAGGTTTACAGATAGTATGTGATTCTGAGCTACTCGCTTTATATCCTCCAATTTCTTACTTTTATTCGGTTGAGTTCTGGACACTGAATGTGCCATTCCCTTTCACCTTACCTGTTATAGATTTGTTGCTATGTTTGGGAACGTTATGCTTTTTCATCCAAGCTTCATCACTTAGATAGATGGCCACATGTTTGGGTCTAGGCAAAACCAATGCTGCCTTAAGGTCAAACATCTGTATCATCTCAGGTAAGCTTAGAAATATTGGGATCCTCTGGTTTTGCAAATCAAATGTTTCTTGATTCTTTATATTTTGTTAGTAGTTCTATACAACTGCCCTCTTTTTAAATTGTTGTTCTTCGTATGGATATTTTTCTCTTTAGAATGATTGTCTTTAAACCAATTTCATTTTACCATTGCATTACATTAATAAACACATGCTGCAGACTAGCAAACCAAACTCTTCCTAACTCATTTTACTGACATATATATGAGGAAATATTGCATTGTGAACTATGTAGTCCACATTTGTTATGAAATATTGGCTGTACAGCCTGGAAGAAATATACATGCCTTCACCGTGACCCTCACACCATTTGGTTGCCGCCCATTGCATCTTCGGCATCACTCCACTTTTGATGTCTAGCCTCTACATTAGGGAAAGCTTGAAAAATATGAGACATCTCGCTGCCGAAACATTTTTTTTTTTACTTAAAGACTAGCTAAAAAAAGAAAGGTTTCTGTAACTGTGCTAGTTTCTACTTAGGGACAGCAGAAAAAAGGGCCAGTTGTTTAAAGTGCAGGTGAACCGCATTCAAGTTAGGTGCCTCCTGGAGAAAGCAGATAATGACAGCTCTTCATAGATTTGTTTTGGCTACATACTGTACTGTAGTGGAGCTGTTGCTCAGAAAGCAGGATGGAGAATTACTCAGACATGCTGGAATCAAGTTAAATACCTACTGGACATGATTTTAAAAAAGGAATAGCATTATAACGGTTGGAGAAAAAAAAGTTTATTGTGCATGATTTAGGAGCCTTAAAGTGACAAAACAGTCCCTTGCTGCTACCTTTACTCTTCAGCTCTATAAAAGCGGTAATTGTATTTTTCCATACAAAACCCCTCTATTGTTACTATTGTTTGATGAAATGACAGCGTTAAAGGAGAAGTTCGGGTTTTTACACTTTAAGCCCATTTTCTGTAGTGTCCAGGATGAAATCGAATGAAGGACACCAAAATTTTGACAATTGCTCCTGTCTCTGCTTTTTGGCTCATTTAGAATCAACCCCTGGCTGCTTTAGAATGGCTAGCATAGAGCATGTCCGATAATGTCCTTAAAACAACCTTAAACGTTCTTTTTTTTAAATATGCTACTCACCGTGTCGTCAGCGCTGTTCAATGACGTTCCAAAAAAAGTTTCGTGAAGAAAAAACGTTCCTGTAGTGTTTTATTTAACATTTTGTAAATCCCATTGAGTTCTGTAGGAATAGTCAATATTCCGCTGCCACCGGAAACGGAAATGGGGCCTGTTTACACAGTTGTAGTCTTTTCGCTTCACTCTGCGTACTCCGACGTCGAGGTGCTAACGTCTCTGTTAAACACTTTAAAAAACTCTGAAAATGGAATACGAAAGGTGGATTCTTGATTCTCGACGTCGGAGTACACAGAGTGAAGCGAAAAGACTACAACTGTGTAAACAGGCCCCATTTCCGTTTCCGGTGGCAGCGGAATATTGACTATTCCAACAGAACTCAATGGGATTTACAAAATGCTAAATAAAACACTACAGGAACGTTTTTTCTTCACGAAACTTTTTTTGGAACGTCATTGAACAGCGCTGACGACACGGTGAGTAGCATATTTAAAAAAAAGAACGTTTAAGGTTGTTTTAAGGACATTATCGGACATGCTCTATGCTAGCCATTCTAAAGCAGCCAGGGGGGGATTCTAAATGAGCCAAAAAGCAGAGACAGGAGCAATTGTCAAAATTTTGGTGTCCTTCATTCGATTTCATCCTGGACACTACAGAAAATGGGCTTAAAGTGTAAAAAACCGAACTTCTCCTTTAAGTAATTGTTTTTTGACTCTGAAGGTGAGTGCCCATTCTTTTTATTGTTAACACCACAAATACTCAAGCTCTGCTATTGCAATTTATTTAATTTTTTTATTGTGCCATCATCAAAAATTTAATTACAGAAAAATACAAAACAGTTGTATTCAACTGAAGTAATCACAATCACTGTTGCTTAAACCAAACTACACAGGTTTACAGCAGAACAATCTTTTACTGAATTTTCTTAAAACACATTTCTACTTTTATCTTTCTTTTATTCAGTTTCATCCAATGCCACACATCGGAAAATATTTATATACTTTTTGCTAAAAAATTTAAGTGGCTAGAAGATTGTAAATTTAGGTTTGCTTCAATCATCTAAAATATGACTAAGACACATTTAACTCCTGGGTGTGCTTTTTTTTTTTTAAACATAAACAAAACAGGAAATATTCATTCCAGACACATATGTACTCCAAAACAATTATTTGAAAACATATAGAAATGTAATATCTCCCTGCGTAAAATGTACTTTTCAGTCATGGTGGATAGAAGGCAGACCCCCTTTAAATTCAACAGTTTCCATATTTTAGCCTGTTAAAAATTATATGAGGATATTATTTTAATTTAATTGATCCATTCGTTTATATTCTACAGCAGGGGATAAATCTATTCTTGTATTGACAGCCACCCCAGAAACAAACCCCAAAAGAAATGCCACTTCTAGTTGTCAGCATTGACTATTAATGCCTAAGGGGCTTGTTAAAGGTTCACACCATCAGCAGAGTCCTGACATTGCTAAAGCATTAATCGCCAACATAAGCGGTGGCTGAGTCCACTTACTAACTGTGACCTACCCTAATAGAGTTAGTAGGGGATACTTCATTTTTCACAACTTTTTTGTGTTTGCATTATGTGGTACACTATGACATTATAATCTTAGAACTGGGAGAGGATGTCCTTCTTTTTTACCATGACTTTATATGCAGTGGACCAATCATTTGCTGAAGACAGTTTACACTCACATAAAAGTAATGTAATAAGAAACAAGTTTATGCCATACTGAAAAAGCACAGTTCTATTAAAATTCTACTGTTGAAGCACATCTACATTCATTAAACTGAAGACGTTTAACAGTGAATTCCCCACTATTGCTCATCTCATGGTTTTAGTATGATTAACATGTCAACTCTGTGGTATTGTACACATATTTACACTTTGGGTAATGTTCATTCATGCTTTAGATTAACTTAGTTTTGGGACATTGCTCGATAACCTTTCACACTCAGAAGGCTGAATAGGAAGATAGATTTAATTCAAAGCAGAATTACATGTGAGCTTTGTAAAAAATGTTCAGAAGTGCCTTTCTTTGGAAGACTTTTTTTTACTCATTACTTGTGCAATTTGATTTGAAAACAAAAGAAGAATCCAAGGGAGTAAAATAATACATGGGATAATATTTACTTATGGTTTACACTTTTTAAGCACACACATATGGCATTTTATAGAATACTCTTATATTATTAAAACAGAAATCCTGCAATATTCTGGATGCTGGATTTTTAAAGATTATATTATCCTCTCCAATTAAGTGCAAACCGTGTCTTTTCTGTCAAGGTAACTAATTTTAGAACTAATTGCATCGCCTTGCAAATGTGTTTCACACATTAAAAGGTTTTGCAAAGCCCAGTAAAAATATCTTGAAACTTCCATTTCTCAGCTGTAGTCTATGATGTCCATCGAATAGATACTTGAAATTCTATAGCTAGTCACTCCTCTTCTTGTTGAAGTATATTCATAAAATATATAGAATAACTTATTTCACATCTAAAAATAAAGAACTATATTTGTAAAATAATCTAATTTTTTAGAATATATTATGAGAATAAATACATCTTTATCTACAGAAAGTGCACAAGTATTACTGAATATTTTTGTTCCTAAAGTATGTATCATTTAAAGTGACATTAATGTGGGATAAATAAAGAGAACATGGCTTAAATATAGCTAATAAATTAAATATAAATATATCACAGCTGACTATAAAATTGATGCAAACTGAAGTCAAAATATGATTAATCAAAGTAGAAATATTCAGAACATCCAGAAACAAATGCAATAGTTGCTGTTTTCATTTGTGTGGATTACGATTTATATTTCCGTCTAAAAACTTTGAATCTATTTTTCCATTCAGTAAAATAAAAGAAACAAAAAAAAAATAACTGAAAAGAAAGATTGCACTCTTAAAAAAAATGTCAAATAACCAGCAGTGTTTTCTTTCATTGCAGGTCACACCTGTTATTTTTTCTATAATATCTAGAAGCAACTTAAAAAGTCTTACAATTTTTATACCATAGGCGACCGGGTTCCATCAAAACCACAACAGGATTAAATAAATAATATATTGAGAATAAGAACTAAGTTCTATGAATGGCTTGGATCAATTATGGGAGACATCAATGACCAATTTGTTTTAAACAATTTTTTAACGAGGGGGAAAATTGTTTTAAAACTCACGATTTGTCTGCCCTCCAGAGTGCAGTCTTCCTAAAATCTAAGCATATCAATTATAAGGTCAACTGGTGGTGAACCAGTTATTTTACTGGAAGAAAATTTGGAAGATTCCAGCCTGTTCATGTAAATAACGGAACTTCCTTGCATCATAGTTTGCTGTGACGATCCACAGGACCTCTTACTCAAATATACTTTCCAAAAAACGTATGTATGGCTAATAAACTACTCTGCAGAAAGTGTCACTTTCTATAATTCAGATAAAGCATTTGAAAAAAAATCCTTTCCTATTTCTTGGACAGGGCTTCAGTTAGTTCCTATTCTTTTTTTCTTATCATGCAAACACTTTCTTATCATGCAAAGACTCTCTTTGCCCTCAGATCATACTTTTATACTAGATTTGTTTTTCCAAGTCTTTTAAAGTCAAAATGGCAGGCAGAGCCCTCACCTTTCTGTGCTTCAGAACTTGCTGGATTTAAAAGACAAAACATACTAACTTTAGACCTGGCTTAGTTTTTTCCTTTAAAATTAACAGTAAGAAGTAATTATAGTAATTTAAGTCAACCTATCACCGATCAGTCAATCAATCGGTTTTTATATGTGGTTTCTCAGCTATTACAATAATATATTATGGTCGAATTTCTCATGTTGTGGTTCTCTTAATGTTATTTTATAAAAAACAGAAAACAACCCTCTCAATATGCGAGCTTTAAGGGGAACATGCATTTGGTTTCATCACATGAGCTAACTGATCTCAGTCCTTTTGATTAAGTAATATCTGTATTTTTTTTTTTTTTACAGATTTTACTTACTGAAAGTGATGAATCATCAGGAAAAATATTTACTAAGGTTAGTTGATGGGCATGTTTTCTTTCCCATTGGTGGAGTCATCATCTCAAAGCAGAAGTAGCACATCTTTTCTTAAGAATGCTTCATAAAAACATTGCATCTTGTAAAATGCATATAACATTCTTTGCCTGATAATTTTCCATATACATTTTTGTGACAAAAATAAAGCACAGAATATTCTCTTTTCCTGTGTATTTCTGCAAATTATGATTCTGCCACTTACTTGTGTTTCTCTTCTTCCCGATTGTTCAGGATTTTCTGTTTTTTTGTTTCTCTGCCTTATGCGTTATATTAGAGATGTAAAATTGATTATATTACTAGGCTGTATTTGGCCAGAAGGAATTTAGGAACATTTTAAAATACAGAGAGGAGAAAGTTTTTACAAGTTTAGGTGGAAAATATATCATCAGTTTATGAAAAAATGGCTATACCAGCTTGTTTGCTTGGTGATGTTTTTCATATATCTCATTGATTGGGATTGGCAAATGTGAACAAAACTTGAATCTCTACTCTATAGGAACAAACCTAAAAAAGACAGAGGTACACATGTGAGTGTACTACAAAAATGACTTTCTCTTTATGATTGTGTCTAACATTGTTAGGTCTGAAGAAGCTGTTCTGGTTGAAGTGGTCAACATTGGCCTCTCCTGGTCCAGAAGTACAGCTAGATGATACAGCTGGATTTCTTTACTCATCAATGAATGCAATCCCTTCAATCCTGTAGAAGGAAACAAAAAATCTGCGTCATTACAACACAGAGCAGAGGGTGACTAATTGTATTAAGGATTAGAAGAAACTAGAGCAAAAACAGCAAATCTTTAAAAAAGCATAAGATACAGTGGACAACAGGATTATTTTCTAAAGGGGGAGATAATGGGGGAAAGAGGGTATGGCCTTGCCTTTTTAGCAGCCACAGGACGAATGTCTTTCTGATTGGAGTTCAGGGATTTCCACACAGTGGTTTTAGACATTTCATCAGATATGTTAATATCAGAGGGATCACACCTGAGGATCAGGGGCAGTGAAAGGGTAAGAATATGGAGAGGTAACGGAGCAATATGCAGGAATCAGAGGGGAAACAATATGACATAATAACCCCCCCCCCACCACACACACACACACACACACACACACACACACACACACACAAACAACAGGTAATAAAAATCACAGGCATGCAAGAAGACAGATGGGGAAGTGACAATCTCTCTAATGATCCTATTAATCAAGTCCGTCTTTATACAGTACATGTGTGCATGTCTCACTTGGGATCATGTGCTTTATGAACAACTCTGCTGCTCTCCATGGGAATCTGAACAGAAGCTGAATCAAGTTTCTTCAAGCTGAGCATTTCTTGCGATTCCTGCATGATGCAAACACAAAAAATTTAGAGGCTTAAAGACAAATAACATTTCAAGGTGTGCCCTCAGATTACCTCCTCCAACGTTTTGGAAGTGTCATCCAGATTCTTCTTTTTCCACTCAGGCATCAAGTCATCCAGGTAGCTCAGTTCTCGTTTAGAGAAGCACAAGTCCAGCAGCTTACGGATAAAAACTAGAGCCAGGACCTGCAGGAACAGGTTCAAAACAGTTCTCAACTAAGCAGAAGGTCAAAGAACAAATATGTTCTTGTCTAATGGAGGTGATTACCATCATGGGGAAGATGATTGCAGCAGGAGAGGTCTTGATGACCCAGAGGAGCACCAGACAGGTGAGCTGAGTGATAGTGAACAGGTGTACCTTTCTCAAAGGAACATGTCTCAGATAGATGAAGTCTGGCTGATGCTTTGCCGGCATACCAAAAAGCTTTAGGCGGTCAAAGAACTAAGAGCAGAAAAGAAGCAGAAGAGGTAAATAAAGCAATCAGATTAGATGAAGAATACTAAAATGAGCAGCATGAATTAAAAAAAAATGTACATATGCTTTGTATGAGCATTGTGAGGCATGTGTAAGGTTACATGCTGATTTTTAACTTAAAAAAAAAACGATTAAAACACACCAATATCAAAGTAAACATCCCGCCTCATATCCTTCCGGAACGCAAAGAAAATTGATCCCTCCACCCTTATTTCAAGTATCCACTCATCCTGCCTCCTTGACTTCAATAATCTACTAACCCCTGATGATATGGTTTTTCATTACAACACTGGTCTCCATAATATTCTTGACTCACTTGCTCCTCTAAAAAATAGATTTGTTTCTTTCTCTGTCTCCTCCCCCTGGTACACCCCAAATCTCAGAAGCATGAAAACCAAAGGACGGCAACTTGAAAGACTTTACAGAAAAACTGGTCTTACTATACACAAAGAAATGTACAATAATCACATTATGCACTATAAGGACTCCATTGCCAGCACCAAATCACAGTACTACTCCAACTTAATCACTGCCAATCAACAGAGCTCTAAGTCACTTTTCTCTATACTTAACAATACCATCAAACCCCAGGACCCTTTCCCCCCGCACCTTTACACAACCTCCTTCTGCAATGACATCATGTCATACTTCACAGAAAAAATCAAGAACATTCACCAGAACCTTGGATCAACGGCTCATCTCAACAACTCAGCAGATCTCCCCCCGCCTACACATTTATTCTCCTCCTTCCATCCTCCCACTGTCTCGGAAATCACAGAACTCATCCGGAAATCCAAATCATCCACCTGTCAACTGGACCCCCTCCCAACACAACTTGTCAAAACCTGCCTTCCCTCTCTGGCTCCCCTCATCTCCGCTATCATCCACTCCTCCCTCACCACTGGAACTGTCCCTACACCTCTCAAAACTGCTGCCATCACCCCGATTGTAAAAAAACCTGGTGCCGACCCCAACAACTTCAACAACCTCCGTCCTATCTCCAATTTACCCTTCATCTCCAAAATTCTTAAAAAAACAGTTGCCTCCCAGCTCCATTCTCACCTATGTGCCAACAGCCTGTATGAAGAATTTCAGTCTGGTTTCCGGCCACTCCATAGCACTGAAACAGCACTCATCAAAATCACCAATGACCTCCTCATGGCATCTGATTCTGGACGACTCACCATCCTCATCCTCCTCGACCTGAGTGCAGCCTTCGACACCATCTGTCACACCACCCTCCTCAGTAGGCTTTCTTCCATTGGCATCACGAGCACTCCGTTGGACTGGTTTATTTCTTATTTTTCTGACCGCACTCAGTTCATTCAACTGAAGACCCTCAAATCCACCCCCTCCCCCGTCACCTCAGGTGTGCCCCAGGGCTCTGTTCTGGGGCCTCTGCTCTTCATCATCTACCTCCTTCCCCTTGGCAATATCTTCCGTAAATTCAACATCCACTTCCATTGCTATGCTGATGACACCCAGCTCTACCTCACCACGCAGCCATCGTCCTCTCTTCCGCCCGCCTCCCTCAGAAAATGCATCTGTGAATTAAAGGCCTGGTTCACCAACAACTTCCTTCAATTAAACAGTAGTAAAACCGAGGTTCTCCTCATTGGTACCAAATCAACTCTTTCCAAAACCGACAGTTTCCAAGTCACTATTGATAGCTCCTCCATCTCCCCCTCCCCCTAGGTTAAGAGTCTGGGTGTCATCCTCGATAGCACACTATCTTTCCAATCCCATATAAATAACATTACCCGGTCTGCCTACTTCCACTTAAGAAACATCAACCGCCTCCGTCCCTCCCTTACCCCACACACTACTGCCATACTTGTGCACAGCCTTGTCACCTCCCGACTAGATTACTGCAACTCCCTCCTCTTTGGACTTCCTCAGAAATCACTCCACAAACTACAACTGGTCCAGAACTCAGCTGCTCGCATCATAACAAGAACTCCCTCTATCCTACACATCACTCCGGTCCTCCGACAGCTCCACTGGCTCCCCATACAGTTCCGCATTCAATATAAAATTATCATGATGACTTTCAAGGCACTTCACCATCTTGCCCCCCCATATCTGTCAGACCTCCTGCATGTTCCCACCCCCTCCCGTGCTCTTAGATCCTCATCTGCTTTGCACCTGTCTGTCCCCTCCGCCCGTCTCTACACCATGGGGAGCAGAGCATTCAGCCGCTCTGCCCCTCGCCTCTGGAACTCTCTACCACCCCAACTTCGAAATACGGACTCAATTCTCCATTTTAAAATACAACTCAAAACCCATCTGTTCAAGATTGCTTATTCTCTTTAAAAATATCAATTTCACTGTCACAGCCTCTGTATTTTTAAATGTTTTTAAACGTTTTTATAATTATAATTTTTATTTTTTCTATAAAATGTATTATTATTATTATTATTAAAAAATAAAACTAGGTCACGTAAATAAAAAAAAAGGAATCTTCTTAATCAGTGAGATTTACTCATTTAATTTTGTTACTTTTCTGATATTGAATCTCACAAAACAGCATAAAAACACATAATTACAAAGTTTAAGTAGAAGGATATAAGGTTTTTAAAATCCTTTAAAAAACAATAATCTGAAAAGTATACTGTATATTTGCTTTCAGATGTTTTTACGCTGATATCCCTAATTGAAAGAGTACAAAATGTCATTAGGCATCTCCTAATCAGTAAATGGACCACCAAAGAGCAATTACCGCAAATCTACGATTTCACCTCAACAAATAACTCCTATTATATAAACGGTAAAGGCAGTATCATGCTGTGGGGGTAAATTTAGGGAAGTTTCAAAGTTTATTAGAAGATGAATGGATAAAAAATACATAACAATTGTGAAAGAGACCCTTTAAATACCACAAAAGGCCTAAAACTGAGGTGCAGGTTCACCTTCCTGCACAATGAGGACCTAAAGAAAACAGCCAAAGCTAAGGAGAAATGGTTTAGAAGAAGAACATTTAAATGAGCTAGAAAGCTCTAATCAGAAATATTATTAATTTAAAGTTTTGCAATCTCTTGCAAAACCTGGAAACTGATGGGACTAAATGGGAAAGAGTTTATGGGTAATTAATCCTTTGTGAGGCACTCTAAATAAAAACGAAAGCAAGGAATCCAGAATACTTGTTTTATTATTAGGGCCCACTTCTGAGCATATAAAATCCACACAAAGAAAGACTGGAAGAACATACGCATACACATTAAAAAAAATAAAAAATTAACATAAAATCAATAAAAAAAATACTTTACTTTTTTTTGTAAATCACATTACAACTAATTTTCCTCTAGAGATCATATTACTCATTATCGAAGAGCTATCCTTAAAAATACAGAATAATATATTATTTATAATGTACTATATAAATATATAATATTTGTTAAACATAATCTTATAATATATTAATATATAAAACTTTGTGTTTATCATATTAATATTTAATTGCAAAATATATAACTTTGTATATATTTCATCCAGTTTCAGGTCAGTTTAAATAGTTTCTAATCTAAATAAATATGTGCAAACTAATTGAAAGGTAATTTTAGAATTTGTTTTGGTCTTTTAAGGGGTTGTAATATATAAGAGATTATTGTGATACTATCTCTGACTCATCTTTCATGTGATTAAAATGAGATCTAAGAAGCCTCCTATTCATTGTGACAGCAGCTGTCTGAACTGTGGTCCGATCCAAGATGGCCGCCATCCAGGAGGCCGACGTGCCTCGAGGACGAGTGTCCAATGAGGCTTCTATGTATATAATGTCTATTTGTATAAAGACAGACCGTTGTGTAACTTCCTTTCTTATTTTATATTTCCGTTGCAGCTTTTACATATATCTGTTGCGGCTTTTATATTTGTGTTGCAGCTTTTGTATTTAAGCTGCGGCTTTTGTATTTGCGCTGCAGCTTTTGTATTTATGTTGCATCATTTATATTTGCATTATGGCTTCCGTATTTGTGTTACGGCTTTTGTATTTGTGTTGCTGCTTTTGTATTTATGTCACATCTTTTGTATTTGCGTTATGGCTGTATTTGTGTTGCAGCTTTTGTATTTATGTTGCATCTTTTGTATTTACATTATGGATTTTGTATTTGTGTTGGGGCTTTTGTATTTGTGTTGCGGCTTTTGAACTTATGTTGCATCTTTTGTATTTACATTATGGATTTTGTATTTGTGTTGGGGCTTTTGTATTTATGTTGCATCTTTTGTATTTACATTATGGATTTTGTATTTGTGTTGGGGCTTTTGTATTTGTGTTGCGGCTTTTGAACTTATGTTGCATCTTTTGTATTTACATTATGGATTTTGTATTTGTGTTGGGGCTTTTGTATTTGTGTTGCGGCTTTTGAACTTATGTTGCATCTTTTGTATTTGCATTATGGATTTTGTATTTGTTTTGGGGCTTTTGTATTTGTGTTGCTTCTTTTGTATTAGTCTTGACACCTCTGGGCCACCATAAGAACAACATTGCCTGCGTTACTCAAGAAAAACCAAGTCAGCTTTTGTTTCACCTGTCACAGTTAGAGTACCGTAATCCTAAATTCCTAAAAGCAAGCAGTTTGCTACTTATATATCTTAGGAGAAATAAGTCACAAGCTACTGAGGGTTGGGCATGAGGTTTATCAGTAAGATCAGCAGTGTCTGTGATGGATCAGAATGAGGAACAGACTGTATAATGTCTGTGGATGATGTCCAATAAAAAACAACAACAAACAAACAAACAAAAAACTTATAAGCTGAAATAAAAGATAAGGACAAGATATATTTACTGCTTTCAGACCAGGTTATCTGGGTTTGAAAGGGTAGGGTTAGGCTTTTATTAAGTAAAAATGATTTTAGAGGTAATTCAATAGATGTCACTATTATGGCCTGTGGCTACACCAAAACACACAAATGTAGACTCAGAGGACTTTAACATGGATGTCCATGTATTCTAACAAGAAGTAAAATAAGTCAATATAAATGTGTTTAAAACAACCAAGATTGTTAAAAAAATAGGAGAAAAAAAATCACACATAAAGTTGTCTATTGGATAAGCAAGTTCTTCTGTCACATACAGGCCTGTATATAAAAAAATAAAAGGTTTTATATATACATATAAACTTTTATTTTATTATAATACTAAACGTATATAATTCTCTTAATGTTTTCCTCTTCCTGTGAAATCAATTAAACTGCTGAGTGTCGCAGGAAGACTGATTGTGCGTTTCCACCAACAGTGCATTCTACCCCACTGTTGGTCAATCAATAACAAGGCAGGGCATAGTGGGAACGTCTAGTACAATGGCTGGGTAAAGTGACCATGAAACAGATGAGGTCTTTTTCAAGTTTATACTATTTTTACAGAGGTTTAGGAAATCAAGGTCAGCGCTGGAAATAGACCTTTAGTCAATGTCATTGAAAAAAAGTATCAGTTGATACTCTTTGTGGAGAAAAAATAACCTTAGATAGATGTGAAAATCATAAAGAAATTTATTTAGTTTTACCTGAATTCCTTTCAAAGATGATGCTCCCATGTAAAGAAAAACTCCATAGAGGACAGGCATAGGAATAAACTGAAATAGGAAAATAGAGAGTTATACTTTAACAGGCCCATGACATTATAAGTACAACCGGGAATTCCACAAAATATTTATAATATGATATAAAATGTTGATATAATAAAATATTTGGCACACAAATTTTTATATGCTAATTATACACAAATACATTTCCATATTTTTTAACTTGTCACATATTATATGGTATAGCAGATAACACCATCCCTACTAGAACAGTGAATTGCCTCCCTTATATTAAACCATGGAAAACAAGTGAGCTTAAGCAACTGCTTAACAAGAAAAAAACAAGCATTTAATAAGGGAGACAGGGAATTAATTAGGAGTGTACAGAAGCAACTTAAGGTCAAGATAAGAGAAAGCATGGAGACAGGCTGGAGAGGAAATTGCAGTAAAACAGTATCAGAGTTATGTGGTCAGGGATGAAGAATGTCACAGGGTTCAAGCAGAAGGATGATCAGACAGATAGAAAGTCTGGACAGGGCCTATGAACTGAATAGATTCTTCAACAGGTTTAGTTCAGGCACAAGCTCAGCGTCTTTCTCTTTTGCCCACATTTGCATGGATAACCTGCCCTCTCCCACCATTGAATATCCTTCTTCTATGAGTTTGATGTCAACCTAATAGGTAGAAGGTGCTACTCCTTCCGCCTTTCCCATGTCTGTCTCTAGAAGTCAAGTGCAGAGGCAGCTGGAGAGACTGAATCATAACAGGTCAACAGGTCCTGGTGGTTTCATCCCCAGACCTCTGTCCAGAGCAGCTCTGTGGGATTCTGCAGCACCTCTTTAATCTTAGTCTGACTCTGGAGATGGTTAGTGGTGTGGAAGACCTCCTGCCTGGTTCCACTATCAAAGAAGACTCCACCAACAGGTCCTCAGTGACTATAGACTGTTGCCCTGACATCCCACTTTATGAGGGTCCTAGAGAGACTTCTGTTGGTTCACCTCAGCAAACAAACAAGCAGCTATTAGGACCCCCTGCAGTTTGCTCTTCGCTGTGAAGTTGGAGTTCAGGATGCCATCATTCACCTGTTTCAACAAACCCACTGCCATTAAGACAAGGCACACAGCACTGTGAGAATCATGCTTTTTTAATTTCTCCAGTGCATTTAACACAATTCAGCCTGACCCTACTTTATCAGAAACCCCAGAAGACCCAGGTGGAGGCATCAACAATTGCCTGGATGAAAGACCACCTGACAAACAGCCTGCTGTTAGTTACTAGACTGACGGTCAGTTGTCTAATGGTCAGTTGTCTAATCAAGTAGGAGCACCACAGGGGGTGGTACTCTCACCCTTCCTTTTTACTCTGCACACTTCTGACTTCCAGCACCAGACTGAGTCCTGTTATCTGCAGAAATACTCAGATGACTCTGCAATCATTGGGTGCATCAAAGATGGACAATAAGCTGAGTACAGAGAGCTGGTGAACTGCTTTGTGGCATGGTGTGGAAACAATAATCTGATCCTAAATGTCAACAAAAAAGTGAGATGATTATAGATTCCTACCTACAGCTATCTACACATATAAGAATTTGATGAAAAAAACAAAACTATGAGTTACTTTTCCCTTTGGGATTAATAAAACAGTTTTTAATTGAATTGAATATTATCCTGGCCTTGTGTTTGCGACTCACCTGCAGAGCTCCTGTCATGAAAACGGAGCAGCCCATGAGCAAGAAGATAACCAGGCCTGTGAGCCTCTGCTCTCTTATGCCCAGGAAACGTGGCTGCTCTCCTGGAGCTGCGCTCTCTGACTCCAGTTTCAGGCTGTTAACATGTGAAATGGACAACACGGTGGCGGCCACAAACCATGGCAATCCCATAATGGAGCACACAGCCAGCATCGACCCTACCATCAGCAAGTCCAGATTGTACCCACAGCCTTTCTGTAAAACAGAAAGTGGGTCAAATACAGCTCTAGAATCCAAGTGTAAAATAGTATTTTCATTTTCTTTCATTTTCTTCTTGCCAGTAGTTTGTGTTCTTTTCGGTTAATAATGACAGCAGTTATCTGTTGGTCCATGAAGATGAGAATGGTACAAAGGAGCGCAGGTATAGATGCAACTAGGGTTGTCCACCAGGGGTTGGGCCCGATCGGATTGATGAGCCAACCACGATCATCTCTGGTAGGCTGCATGTATAGAGCAGAGATGAGTTTTAACACTTCTTTAATTTACATTGGGCATCTGGTAATGTTTATTACTGTTTCCCGGCAACAGTTTACGGTCCTCTCAAATATATATGTGCTGTAAACTGGTCAAATATGTTGGATATCAGGCTTTATTTGCTCATTTGACCATTTTAACTTTTTGCTGAACTTATGTATTTAAATATAAAGCAAAGTTGTCTTTTTAAGTAATCTTTGCTAAGTTACATCTAAGAAATATATTTCTGATAAATGTATTTTACCTGAAATTTACTGGGCACCTTCAGCTTCTGGGATGGCACTCCAACGACAAAGTCAAGCAGGACCATGATAACAATTGTGAGAAACACTGCAAAGTCGCTGATCATGGAACGAATCTAGGAGGGACAAATTAGTGCATTTAGACACGTTACTACAAACAACATCAGGTTGCAAGAAAACAATCTAAGATAAACTTCAGTGTCCTCCCGAGGTTATTGATCCTTTTCTGCCTTTTGTCCATTGTAAACCTGAATATATGCTTTGCGGATTTTACGTGTGATTACTGGGTTTTCAAACTTTTTTTTTCACAAATCCAAATCTTAAAACAGATTGCCAATAAAGGAACTCTTCATTCCTTTATAAAACATTGTGTCTTGTCCCCTTTACTCTTATACTAAATGAAATTCAGTACAACCAAATGTATGCCTTTCTATCAGCCCCCTTGTATTCATATTTTGTAAAATCATCCTGTAGCACAAATATAGCTAAATGCCTTTTGAGGCAAATCCTTAATAGCTTTAAATATCTAGAGAAATGTTGCCCGTCCTTTTTTTCAAAATGACCAAAGCTGGAACTGGATGGAAAACCAGCCATAAATAGAAACTTTTAAATCCTTTACTCAGTCTGGGTTTTACCTGGACCACTCTAACTAAAAAATATCCTTGGATCCAACGCATTCCTTTGCAGCTCTGGCTGTATGATTATTGTTCTGCTACAAGTTAACCTATAACCCATTCTGCATGATCCTGCAACCCACTCTTTACATAAAGATTATTTGTTCAGGATAGAGTGCATTATTACTCAAATTGTTTTTAACAGTCATCAATGGTCCCTTTTTGCCAGTTTTCCATAAGGGCAATGCCGTGCAAAAAAAAAAAAAAATGAGGCAATGCCTGTGAGCTATAGTTCAAGAAATAAACTGAAGCTGTGCTCCTGCTCCACAACTGGGTGACTTCTTAACAACACGTTAATTATGCCACCGTTGTTCTGTAAAGAAAGGAGCAGGCCATTTTCTACAGATTAAAACAACACATTAATGTATGGATCATTATTGATACCAAGGGCCATGAATGCCAAAAATGAACCAAAAATGGTACAGCCTGGGGGAAAAATGCTATGTTCCACATGCATATTTTGCTGTTGGTGTAAATATCTTGACTGATCCAAACAGAAAGCGGTCACTGTAGGATGTGTGCATGCTGTTTCACACACACACTTACGTGTGTGTATTTATTACCTTTAAGGCAGTTGGTTGCACTGGATTTTATTTGGGGATATTCAAGTATTCAATACATTTTTTTAAATGATCAAATGCATCTGTTTTTTTAACCCTACTCTACATGATAGTTAAATTTTAATAAAAGTCAAACTGTGAAAAAGTCCCTGGAGTATGAATACATTTACATTGCATTGTGTTGTCTGGTTATAAGTTAACGTTGTGGAGTACCTTGGTGGGGAAATAACGGCTTGTCTTAAATTCTTTCAGGAAGGCCGACATGAAGAACGTTGAAAAGAACAAGATGACGGACCAGAAGAGAACATCTGGGGTGAATGGGCCATGGTGCCCACAAGCTGTCCCAACAAAGTGCCCATGCAGGCTAATACACTCCTGCAGGTAAATGGAGAAAATAACTCAGATTTAGATATAAAACAATGCAGAGAACTCCTTATCTGATCTGTTAAGTTAAAATAATCAAACTGTATGAAAAAAGTTTCTATTTTGCATAAGAAAAAAACAGTTGTTCGCAAATGGTAGTAGTGGTAACCCTACAGATGTCCTTCAAAAGGATTAACTGCTGATAGGAAGGTGAGCTTAAGTCGAAAGTTAACCAAAACAAAAGCATTGTGAAGCACTAGATTATAAATTCAAGGTGAGGATACAGTCTCAATCTCTGAACCACGAAACCTATGTTAATATTTCTAATAGTCCCACATTGTTTTAAAAAAAAACTGGATAGTTTAACAATTCGACTCTAACTTGGGCTCTGATATGTCATGTTCTAACATTTTAGCTCACCCTTGTTTTTTGGAATTCAGTACAACAAACCATAGCTTGGGTTTCTTTTTAGTCAATACCTTTTAAAGTCATATGAAAAACATTACATAGCTTCTAGTGATGCCATAGATATGATGATTTGTGGGTAAAGTTAGTATGTGATAAAAATATAGAGCCTACAGACAGACAGACAGACAGACAGACAGACAGACAGACAGACAGACAGACAGACAGATAGATAGATAGATAGATAGATAGATAGATAGATAGATAGATAGATAGATAGATAGATAGATACCTTTACAGTTAGGTTATCCCAGGGTACTGCAGAGGCTGTAATATTTCTCTCACTCCAGAACTTTAATGTTTCATTACTGGGAATATTAGGCTCTGAACACCTGCAGCTACACAGCAATATGACAAAAAGGGGTAAATGTACATATGCTGCAAGACTAAGCAAGAATTTTGTCCTTGGATAAAAGTTTTAGGCATAGATGTTATTTCAAAGGCTTAAAAAAACACAAATAAGTGTCTCTTCCATAGTACCACAAAGGAAAAAAAAATAGTTACTCACTATGTTAGTGTGAGTTTATCCAGCTCACTGTTTTTATTGAAGGGGTACAGTTCTCCTAAGTGGAACAGTTTCTCCAAGGCCTCATAGATGAAGATGAGACAGATGAGGGCAGCAAATGCTTCCTCTGTGAATCGGGTGATGTAACAAACCAGAGAGCTAGCATCTGTGGCCACTAACACCAAACACAGCAGGGCTGTCCACAGGCCAATGCAAGCTCGGAGTGACAAATATGACAGGCCAAAGTCCCTGAGAAAAAAGGTTAGATAAGATCATAGGAGGATAGGGGAAACCTGATTAGTGAGTAGAGTAGTTGTTTGGATTCTGTACATACTTGCAGAATTTGAAGAGTATTTTCTCAAAAACCAGTACAGGCCCAGTGCTGCCCAGAATGGTGAGAGGCTGACCAGCAAACAGAGAGTAGGCTACCCCAGTCATTGATGCACCGAATAAGGACTCTATGGCACTCTAAGACATTCAGTGGTTTAGCATTGTGCTACATTCTGATTCATTCACATGTTATAAAAACAGTATGGTGCTCTCCATGTGTTTACTCTTACAATGCGTCCTTCAGTCGCCTCCCCAAGCAGTCCGCCAAAGGTGATGACAGGAGACATACAGGCACAGTAGAGGAAGAGGAAAGAGGCAACGCACTGGAGGCTAAGGCCATCCTTAAAGTCACTCACATAGAAAGGAGCTTTCCTCTTAATATCCAGTATGAGGCCGCCAAACAACCTAACCGCAGTGCACAATAAGAACATTCAGATGGGTTTTCTTACATTTATAGAATGTACTGTACAGAAAAAACATGAGCATAGGAAATGACTTTTAGACACAACACAATAGTGACCTCTTGCAAGCAATGCAGCGATGTCTTTGTATGGTAGCCCAAACTGAAAATATAGCCAAATTAGTTCATCCATTTTAATGAACATGGTTGTCTGAAATACCCATGCGAGAAAGTATCTGGTGCAGAAGAGAACATTTTCTTTTTCTATCCTCAGTGTCCCTTTAGGGGCTCGGCACATTTCATTTAGTGCTATGTTATATTGTATATCAGGAAAATAATATAGATTTTTTTTTCTTCTTCGTATTAATATGACATTGGGTAGAAAAGCACCTTAAAAATATATTTTAGCTCGTGGTTTTGTTGTGAGAAAGTGTTCAAAGGATATAAAGACTTTTGAAAAGCCTCACTTTCTTCAGAAACTCATATTCCGCTTTTTGAAATTCGTCTTTATATCTACACATTGCTGTCATGATCCTATATAGATTATTATATTTTACATGTATTGGTTCTGTTCAAACTGTTTTGTCTATGTTAAACATTCATCTAGCTTCCATCAGAGTAAACTTCCTACTTTGAGCAAACATGCCTCTGTAGTAAACCTGTCTGGTCAGCTGCCTACCTTCCTGTCCTCTGCAGCTCTGGCCCATGGTGTTCAGCATGTTGCGGTTCCTCTACCTGCAAGGCTGTACCATTAGGAACCCCTGGTGTTTTCCTTTTCTCCTGCAGGTCCAGAGTAAGCAAAACGCAACATGAGGCAAAGGTAATCTAAACAATTATAGGTGTATCTATAGCTAGACTTTAATGCTGAAAGGTAAAATGTATGACTATTAATGCATACCTGAGAGGGTACATTCTTTGGGGGCTCTATTCGGATAGAAGGGTCCCACTCCCCTGGGGGCAAGACAGTCACCTGGTCCAGGAACTCGTCTATTCCTGCTAGAAGGTCACTTCTGTCTTTTGCTTTATATGCTACATTGTGGAAGATCTGATCCAGAGTGGAGTTAAATAATTAGAAAAACATCAAGGAAAAAACTGTGTAATTTTGAACATTTCTATCTGTATAAGCTACATTTGTTTTGCAAAAGTATTAATACCTCTTAAAATAGACCAACAAAAAGAGATTTATGAAAGTGATGTGGAAGAAAAAATAAATAACCATGCATTGTTATTGAGCTCTCTTCGCTCAGAGATCAAGTTTTTAAATCTACTGCAACTCTGTTCTGTAAATAGGTATTTATAATGTACTACAGAAAGGGGGATAAGAAGTTCATATTGGATGAGGCTCTGTTACAAGGCACTGTGGATCAGAAATGTCTCCAACCTCATCTGTCATAATAGTTGCCATCGAGCGTCCAATTTCATGGTACTGCTGAGCCTTTCCATCAGGGCCAAGGAGAATGAAGAGGAATCTAATTTGGATCAACAGATAAACTATACTTCATAGACTGTCCTTTTAAAGCTTATTTAACATGAATTACACTCAGAGACAGGTAGAGCTGTGGCTTTTTACCTGGTGGGGATAGGGACCTCAGTTAGTCCCGTGAGCAGGACAGCAGGGGAAAGGCGTACAAAAGCAACAATCGGTCTCTCCAGGAAGTCCAAAACTCCAACCAGCACATTTGAAGCCTCTGCGCCTTCTGGAATCTTCTTCATAAAATGCAGATCAACCTGTTGGTTGAAAAAGTAAAAGGTGACCAGCAGACTAAAGTTTTATCAGATTCTATTACAACTCATAAACATCCATCTTCTGCAATAGAAGGAATGGATTCAACCATTTTGCATCTCATCCAAATACTGAGCTGAGGAAAGAAATGTATTAATATTCATTAAATAACAAACTATATTTCCCACAGCCAGTTTGTTTACCTTACTGAGATCCACTTGACTGTTTTCCTGTCCAGCGCCGTTCTTGGCTGGTTCAGTTGGCAGAGGAGGCTGGGGAGACGGGGCCGACCCTGTGGGATGGGAAGATGTGGGTGTATGTAATCATGATAGAAAGTGGCTGAATAGTAGAAAATGTCTTTCTAAAAAACAAAGAGTAAAGTTTAAATGCTTTCATTTTCTGCAAGAGCATTGCAGATTAATTTCATTCTTGGAAGCAGTATATCTGTTAAAAGATGATCCTGCAGTGCACTGCAAATTTATGCCCATTCATTGAACTTTTTTCATGTTATATTTTACTAACAAAATCCCCAATGTATTTTGTTGTGATTTTTTTTGTTCGTGGTAAACTAACAAAAAGCATTTCCAAATTAAAAAAATACAAGGCATGAATGAAAACGCATGGCATGCATTTGCATTCAGTGCCTTTTAATGTGATACCCCTAAAAGAATTCCAGTATAATCAATAGGCTTCAGAAGTTATTTAAAAACAAAATTTTAATGGCAATCTACCGGTGTCTAAAATAGCCATAAAAAGAGTAATTTAAGTGTTATCATAGACATGGGCTACATGCAAAACATTATGGGCCGGATTTATCAAGATCCAATTTTGCGTGCAATAATTTGCGCTCGCAAACTGGAATTTTGCGCGAGGGGCTGAACCATGGTTTGCGGGTGATTTAACAAGAATGATTGCGTAACTGGTGGCAGGTGCAAAACTGTTGGAGACGCCCTATTTAAATAATGGTTTTGCGCTTTTTGTGGTTTGCGGCAAAGTAGTTTGTAGTTTGTACAAACTAGTGCATTAAGAAATTTAAATCTTACAGTGACCCCCAACAAAAATAAATAAAAAAAATAAATAAATAAAAAAAATAAATAAATAAATATATATATATACATATATATATATATATATATATATATATATATGTATATATAAAGAAAAAACTTTGGCAAGCTTTATTCTCTAAGGTGGTATGTGGCTGAATTTCTACTTCACTGCAGTAAAAAAACAAAACAAAAAAAACTGGTGTTTTGTATTGGCCTGTAGAAAAATGCACATACCAAATGGCTCACAAGAAGTGACTGTGGATGAGATTACTGCGCGTACGCATCCCCGCAGCATTGGCATGTTGCTCCACAGGCGCAGGGGGGAGGTCGGGGTTCTCAGGTAGGGCGTCAGGGCGACATGGCATTTAGAACGTCGGACAGCACTTCTGAAAAGCGAGATTGGGAGATCCCAGCTCTCGCTGCAACCGTACACTGGAATGACCCAGATGCAAAAATAGTGCAATGTTGCAAGGAGTTTTGTGATATCTGGTATTGCGTGGGTCCTCCTTATGGCTGGCTCCAAATCCAAAATGGCAATGCTGGATAAACGATATGTTTTGATGATCTTTTCCTCGTTCATTCCAAAAATATTCACACCGAGTGAAAAAATGCGTTCTCTGCGTCTCCTTGCTTCATTTCGATGTCTCCTTTTTGCGACAATAACCGCTGCCATGTGTGCGCAATTACGCATACAGACCATTTGCACCTACTTTTGAAACGTGTTAAATATAGAGTCAGATACCGTTAGCAAAATTGCTTTCAGGTTTGATAAATCACTTTGCGAGTGCTAAATTAATATATTTACATGTTCTCCTCCCACAAGACGCACTTTTGCGTGTAAACGCCCCATATTGCATATTCATTGCAGAAAAAGTACTAAATGGGTCGGAGGCGCTATTTAGCACATTTTAAAGACCAAATCCTTTTAGCACACTGTTGATAGATCAGTTTGTACAATTTTTAGCGTGCGCAGTGAAATAGCTCACGTTTTTGTACACGCAAACCTTTGATAGATCCGGCCCTATGTGTTGAGGAAGACCATCATACCTCTATTATGAGACATGGTGGTAGAAAAACCATGCTGTGGAAATGCAATTCTTTAGCTTAGAGGTGAAATTGGTCAGACCTAATAATGAACAGTCTGGGATTAAAATTTAAAAGACATTTGAATATAAATTGTAAGATCAAAGCATATCCTTGTGGTAGAATAGCCAAGTCAAATTCCAAAACAGTTGAAAAATTGGCTTTGCACATTTGTTTCCAAAATGTACATTTGGTGGAGACCAATCCAAAATACACATTTCTAAAACAGATATACCCTTGTACTTTATAATAAATTATCTTTTTTATGTTTGTCTGTCACATACAATTCCAATAAAATCTATAGAAATGTTTGATTGCAATGTGACAAAATGTGAAAAGGTCGATTGGATATGAATACCTATGCAAAAGAATGTAGTTTACATGTTGCTAATAGGTCTTATCAAATTAAGGGTGATATTCCCACCAATGATTATTTGCGTGTTTTGTGCTTTATGAAACATACCTACTACTTGAGGCTCTGACTGTTTGCGCGCTCCCTCAGTGATGGAACGTACGATTGGAATAAGGTTTTTCTTCTTTTCATTTTGGTGGTGGTGCCTCTTGAGCAGGGCCTCACGTACCCTAACTCTAACAGTGTCATCCAGCTCGTGCGAGGCCTCCTGGTGGTCCAGAACCATGTCTACAACACATTGGTACACTCATTATCATCGTCCAGTTTACCGTGTCTAGCAAGAGTAAGAAGCTAGGCTTTGTTTGAAAAGAAAATATCTATAATTCTGACCTAATATGACAGGAAGTTTAGTCTGCTTAGAGTCTATTGTTTTATGAATAAGAATCGTTTTCAGTGAGTCTTTTGAGTTAAACAAATATGCACTTCCATATATGGATGATTACATACATCATTGATTATAGCTGTAAATACAAAAGAGAATGAAAATCAGCTTTTCTAACGAGAAATATTTATGCAGGGATTGTGTTTCAGTTCTGTTCCTCTGAAACTGTTTTTTTTTGTTGTTACTGTAAAAAAAAAAGAAATACTGCTAGTAACCTTAGCAGGGAGTTGACAGCCAGACCATGAAGGCAACATACATTGTTGTTTGTGAGAGTAAAATCATTTAACTAGAGAAATACTTTTTTTTGGTCCCCTGTTGATATAAAATGATTTGCTGATGACTACATTAAGTTAAGTCAATAAGCTTTCATTCACTCGAAATGTGTATGCTTATACCTATCACAATTTAATGCAACTATAGCTTCATTCTTTTATAATATGTGCAAGCTAAATAAGTTTATTTAAGAAGGAAACATTTTATTCATTTAAAACCTGAGTATTTTCCGATTTATGCATTACATGGGCATAGGTTTGCATAGGGACCATAGGGACATGTCCCTACCAAAATTTTGGAAGGACCTATTTGTCCCTACCAATAATTGGATGTAAACAACATGTTTATAATTTACTATACAGCAGCCGCTTCTTTTCCTCTCGCAGCTTCTCTGCCTGGTAGCTGCAGCTGCCTGCTCTTTCCTGTCCCTTTCACATAGCAGCGCATCAACTGTGCTGCGCGGTTTAACTCTGATTATTCTGCCTTAAGTTCCGCCTTCCGCGTGTTTCCTAGTCTGTATGTGCGCGCGCGCGGGTGCTTGGAGTGCGAAAAAAAAAGACGCTAAAATAAATTAATATTGGGCTACGAAACTAGTCCAAATTAAAAAAAATATTATCTACGCTAAAACAGGCGAAAGCTTCTGATTGGAGTTCTGTAAAGAAGCAGGAGAGAGTTTTTTGATTTGTGGAACTTGAGAAATGTAAGTTAACAACGTTAGGATTTCTTTTATTTTATCTTTTAATCAGATAGCCAAAGGCTCCTTAAAGAAGATCTTTTATGAAATGAAACCAGGTGAAACAGAAACGTTTAAACATTTCCTTTGGAGGAGTTCTGGATGGAGAATATTGACAGACAAAAACTATTTTTTTTACTTCTTAAATGCAAAATGTTTACATATTTTTTACAATCTTGGTATAATTCCTGCTCTAAGTGGGTCGCTCTGTCGGCTAAAGGCACATTTTAGTGGTCCTATATTCCAGTTAACGATTAATCAATTACATAGTTCACGATTATTTAAATAATTTGTTAATATGATTAATTGTTTCAGCCATAGATAAAATACATGAAATTAGCTACACAGAGTAACTACAGCCCAGATGTACAACTTCTAATATTAATACTTTAAATGCTCAGTGTCAGTTCCTCTTCTAGTTCCAGTGCACATGTAAATACAATACATTTATTTTCCGTCCCTTGAATGTATTATTTTGCATGATCCAGAGAGAGCATATTAGAAAAAAAATAAATAAATAAGAGTGGGTTTTACCTCTGTTTACCTCTGCACAATTCTATATCTTCAGAAGAAAACACAGGATAAATCCACATATTATAGACTATATTTGGTTAAACAGACACTGTCTTAGTAGCAGGTAAATTTAAATGCAATCCTTTTCAAAGTGGAAAAAGTCCTAATTCCACATTCATCAGAGCCAGTTATGATTTAAATATTGATAAACAGCATCTAGAGCATGTAGTGCTTATAAGATTTGTATTAATGTAGCAAGAAATGCTGCTGTTCTCTTTAAAATAAATGAGCCCTGAAGCTCACATTAAGCATAAAAAAGAGCATGCATATTTTTGCAAAGGACCAATGAAACCGAAGAATAGTGTCCCTACCAAAGTTGAAATCAAACCTACGCCCTTGATGCATTACAATACTGCTGTCGATACATTATGTGGAAATAAATATGTGCTTTTAAATCCCTTGGTACAGTGCCAGTTTGTTGATTCTCATTTCTACAGCTCTACTAACATTTCTCATGTCTCCCTCTTCCACACTTGATATGTGACTACCGTATATGACTCTTCATTGATACATTTTAATTTTGGCTGGAGACTGTTTCCCACAGGAGATGATGATTCTTAATTAACTTGACCGCATTTACATATCTCTGTATTCTCTATATAATCTTATTTATATTTGACAGTTTCAGAGATTACTAATGAATTACAACTAAGTTCAAGCTTCTATACAGTTAAACATTGGAGGTTGCAAAAATCATGAAATTTGACACATTTGTTTCATTAGGCTTCTCTAGTTGCTATGTTAAACCAAAATTCTCATATGTCTGTCTCTAGTTCTAGACTGAGAACAGACAACATGCCATAGAAGCCAAATTGGTGCTGCCTAAATATAAGATCATATTTCATTAGCTTTTCTTTATGTCTCCTTTTCCCTTCAAGCTTAGTTCTTTAGTCAGCACAAGAGTGTACATTAATTGGGTTGCTTTGACAGCCAATAAGGGGTTCTCTAGCTCAAATTTCTGTGCTGTAACTGAATGGATCCTGTATAAAGATAATGAGCTGGCCTAAGTGATACCTAGTGCCTTGTTAATAAGGCACTAGGTATCACTGTTCACTGTCACTGTCTTATTAACAGTCTTGTTAATAAGAGGAACAGCAGTGCAACACAATAAATAAATAAATAATAAGGGAAAACCTGCACAGAGAAAATAAAGAAGGTTTTAAGGTTACAGGATAATGTCTGCAAACATTATTTAAACAAAAAATGTCACATGTTTTAACAAAGATTGGTGGTTACTCTATTTGTTTCCCCATTTCTACATGTAGCTTGAAGCATTGCAATAAAATATATATTTAAAAAAATGTTTTATCTGTTCAAAATGAGTTTAAAATATGCATACAAAGGATGAACCCATGAATAATGAATAACCTAAGGCTTTACCTTGGCATTAAAATGAATGCTCTAATGAGTGGCGGTAACATGCTTGGATAACTCAACTCTTAATTTTACGATTTTAACATGAAGGACATGAAATCCCAGGGGTTTCTCTTACGGAATGAATAAAATCTGAAGCCTGAGAAATTTTTACGACAAAGTTTTTCAAGAAAGAAAAAGTTGTGAAGAATTGCTGTGTTGTATCTGCATGCGTGGACGATTCAGGCTGTTTCATTCACATATCTGCCTCTGTGGGGACCTGTTATTGATATTGAGTACCTCCTCCCTTAGCTTTAAATTTAAGGCTAATTCCCTAACAATGAAAATGATAGATTATACTGATAGTTACTGCAGCCAATTTCTGCTAGGGAGAGAGTATAAGTTGTGGTTTTGCTGCTACAGCAGAAATAGACTCAGTAATAAAGCTACAGCTTAAAGGAATAGTACACCCAAAACATGATTAGCCTTCATTTTCTACTCACCCCCATGCTGAACAAAACTCTGGAGAACTTTTTTGATATCTCAAATGCATCTGGAGATCTGGGAGGCTTCTTGCTGTCTGCTGACATTCAAATAATGGAGGTCTATGGCGCCCGAGACAGAAAGGTCCACAAAAGTCCACAAAAACGTGTCAATATTCCTCCATACTGCTCGTCCAATGTAATCCAAGTGTCCTGAGTGGGTAGTATCCAGAATTTACTCGAAACGAAGTCATTTAGAACGTTTTAGAGCCTAAACAGTAGTGTATAGGATTTCCTAATAGCGCCCCCATGCGCGCTCACGATTCTACGGAAGCCGGCAGACCAAACCGCAAGAAAGTGCGCATTCAGCGTCTGCTCTGCCGATAATGCAAGCGTAGAAGAAGAAATGTGCTGTTTACCTGTGCAAAGAAAGAAACAACGAAAGAAAAATGTCTGAGGACTTCAGTATTGAGGAAGAGCATGAGTTCTTTGCCGAGCTGAATGCGCTGGTTTGGTCTGCCGGCTTCCGTAGAATCGTGAGCGCGCATGGGGGCGCTATTAGGAAATCCTATACACTACTGTTTAGGCTCTAAAACATTCTAAATGACTTCGTTTCGAGTAAATTATGGACGCTACCCACTCAGGACACTTGGATTACATTGGACGAGCAGTATGGAGGAATATTGACACGTTTTTGTGGACTTTTGTGGACCTTTCTGTCTCGGGCGCCATAGACCTCCATTATTTGAATGTCAGCAGACAGCAAGAAGCCTCCCAGATCTCCAGATGCATTTGAGATATCAAAAAAGTACTCCAGAGTTTTGTTCAGCATGGGGGTGAGTAGAAAATGAAGGCTAATCATGTTTTGGGTGTACTATTCCTTTAACCCATTCGATTATCTTAGCAGAGCTATCTGGTTATTTGAATTGTTTCGTAAACCCACCACAAAAATGGAGGCCTCTTTTCTCCTTTTGCAAGATGATTTTATTATGACTTGTTTAAACAGAACTTTATCAAAGAGTAGGACCAATGTTGTAGTGCACTAAAAATATTGCTTTTCAGTCATAAGTCATGTTTCCTTTTTTGTGATCTAAAAAGTGTAATATGTGTTAACCAGAACAGCTGCTCTGAAAATTTCTGTACAAAAAAACTGAGTTTATGTAAATAAGGATAAAAGGCGAAAAAGTTACAGATTCAAACAAAAAGCTGCAAATGCTACATAATGCCATGGGTGATATGCTACTTAACCTTTTTAAACTAAATTAATTAAATAGGATAACAGGTAGGCAGTTCATACTTGTGATTTCAATTCAATAAAATGTTTAGGTAATGAGCAATGGACATCAAGCAGTTCAGTTTTTTACCTTTATGAACAAACATTGGTTAAAGAAATGTCGAATTATACAAAACTTCAAAGTTGATTTTCTGTTCAACGGATTTTGATGTCCTGTTGAATGTACTAGTTTATGGTAAAAAAAACAAACTTTAAATTTTTATTTCAGTATAATTATATAAAGAATTAACATTGTTTTATACCTTCAGTCACATTTAAATAAGAAATTAACCTATGTGAAAGTAGGGTTATATATATATCTTGTTTACAGTTTTTAGCAGTTCAGAACTTGGGTGATGTAAGGACTTCACTGTATCTCAATGCATGTATGAACACTGGAGAATATTTACATAATTTAAAATGACCTAGATGATTTATGAATTTATAAAATGCAGTAAATTGGACTTTGCCTGAGACAAAAAGGTTTATATAAATAATCACTATTTTTATGAAAGGAATGTGTGAGAAAGGTATGTCAGAACTGTTGTTGACCATTTTCACTTTAACAGACTTCTTGCAATGCTTTCATAAATAAATGTTTAGCTTAAGCTTTACAACTTAGATTGTTTATACAGCATTCTGATACTGACTTACACAGAAAAATAAGTTTCTCACCTGCTATTTCCTCAATGGAGTCGGCCCGCATGTCCAGCAGAACGCTACCGTTGATGATGCAGCTCCGGAGCTCAAACAAGCTGTGAAGGGAGAGTGTAGCCACATAAGGCTTGCTCCACCTCTCTCCACCATCCTCCACATCTTCTTCAAACTTTAACCACCTGCAACATAACATAACAGAATATAATGTTTACATTGCTCATGTTTGTTCTTTAAAAAACTACCGTATTTTCACAACCATAAGACGCACCGTACTAAAAGGCGCAGCCTCAGTTATGTGTGCCATCACTGTATTTAGAACACACATTGGGCTTACCGGACTATAGGGCACGGGTTTTATATACAGGTGCATGTCCTCTACTACGTTTAAATACCTCTACTGCGTATTTAAAAATAGAGCGGGAGCAAAACTGAGTATGACTTTGCTTTATTCATGTTTTTATTACAAAGTATTAATCAAACCTGGGAGCTGGCCGTGAGACAGACACATCGCTGATGACACAGAGCGCTGTGATCACTCCTCTGAAACTGTTTATTGACGCATAAATTAACTTAAAATGCAGAAATCTGCCGGCAGAATGTGTTCGCTTTTATTATCCTGGTGCTCTTTGATTAAAAAAAATAAAAAAAATAAAAATAAACATATTCCATCCAGGGTTGGAGGTTGTTTACCCACAAAGCACACCCCCTGAACCCATCTGCAAAAACCCTACCTCCCCATCCCTTCCTGGAGCCTGATACCCGCTACCTCACCAGGGGCCCGGACGGTCGAAAATTTTTCAAAGTGTGCCGTGGAGAGTAGGTCACAGGAGGGGTAGCCCCTAGCTACGTAATACCATGGAGGGATTTTGGTTTTTGTTGGCCCCTGTCTATTTCAGCAGGATAGTAGGAGAGTGGCTTTCGAAGAGCCGGTTTGGAGAAATGACGAGTCACGGACCAGGCGGGTCTTACACGCTCACTCTCCCCTGATCGATTGGCGAACGCGGCCTGCCATTGGAGGGACTCCTTCGGCCCCCGGCTTTGTATGGACGGCTTCTCCAACCTGCAGGCTCGACTGCTAAGCCCCGTCGGATGAGGACGCTGCGCTGGCACCCGTCCACGAACGGCGGCCTCCCCTTTGGGAAGGGAGACCGAGACGCCCCGTCAGACCAAGCGGTCCTCGACTGGAGCTCCGCCAGCGGTCCTACGCTCCGCGTGACAGGGGCAGGCCGTCCCCGGCGGCGACCTCCAGAGAGCAACACTGTTTCTCACGCCCTCCCAAGCCGAACCTAGACGGGAGGAGGAGCAGCAAAAGCAGGCAGGCGGCGGCCCCATTCCCGGGTCTCCGTCTTCCGACCGAGCGGATCCGGCCTCCCACCCAGCCCCCCAGCAAGCGCCTAGAGTTCGCGGCTCCGGTTCGGAAATTTTTCTAAGTCCCACCGCTGTATCAGGGGTCCCTGACATTTTTCTAAGTCCCACCGCTGTACCAGGGGTCCCTGACATTTTTTTAAGTCCCACCGCTGTACCAGGGGTCCCTTTGGGAAGCGAGACCAAGACGCCCCGTCAGACCCAGCGGTCCTCGACTGGAGCTCCTCCGCTTCGAGTAGCAGCGGCAGACTGTCCCCGGCGGAGACCTCCAGAGAGCAGCAGCATTTCTCATGCCCTCCGAAACCGAACCTAGAAGCGAGGAGGAGCAGCGAAAGCAGGCGGGCGGCGGGCCCCATTCCCGGGTCTCCGTCTTCCGGCCGAGTGGCTCCGGCCTCCACCCAGCCCCCCAGCAAGCGCCTAGAGTTCGCAGCCCAGGGGCCCTGCTGGGCCCCCGGGTTACCGATCGCTCCCAGCTCCCGGTTCTCCGCGGGAAAGGGAGGCTACCTGGTTGATCCTGCCAGTAGCTTTTGCTTGTCTCAAAGATTAAGCCATGCAAGTGTAAGTACACACGGACTGTACAGTGAAACTGCGAATGGCTCATTAAATCAGTTATGGTTCCTTTGATTGCTCCACCTTTACTTGGATAACTGTGGCAATTCTAGAGCTAATACATGCAAACGAGCGCTGACCCCCCGGGGATGCGTGCATTTATCAGATCCAAACCCGCCCTGGCCGCTTTGGTGACTCTAGATAACCTCGAGCTGATCGCTGGCCCTCCGTGGCGGCGACGTTTCTTTTGAATGTCTGCCCTATCAACTTTTGATGGTACGCTACGTGCCTACCATGGTGACCACGGGTAACGGGGAATCAGGGTTCAATTCCGGAGAGGGAGCCTGAGAAACGGCTACCACATCCAAGAAAGGCAACAGGTGCGCAAATTATCCACTTCTGACTCGGGGAGGTAGTGACGAGAAATAACAAGACAGGACTCTTTGGAGGTTCTGTAATTGGAATGAGTACACTTTAAATCCTTTAACGAGGATCCATTGGAGGGCAAGTCTGGTGCCAGCAGCCACGGTAATTCCAGCTCCAATATTGATCTTAAAGTTGCTGCAGTCAAAAAGCTCGTTGTTGGATCTCGGGATCAATTGACGGTCCGCCACGAGGCGAGCCACCGTCTGTCCCAGCCCCTGCCTCTCGGCGCCCCCTCGATGCTCTTAGCTGAGTGTCCCGCTGGGGCCTGAAGCGTTTACTTTGAAAAAATTAAAGTGTTCAAAGCAAGCCCGGTCGCCTGAATACCGCAGCTAGGAATAATGGAATAGAACTCCGGTTCTTTTTAGTGGGTTCTCTGAACTGGGGCCATGATTAAGAGGGACGGTGGGGGGCATTCGTATTGTGCCGCTAGAGGTAAAATTCTTGGACCGCAAGACGGATGAAAGCGAAAGCATTTGCCAAGAATGTTTTCATTAATCAAGAACGAAAGTCGGAGGTTCGAAGAGGATCAGATACCATCGTAGTTCCAACCATAAACAATGCCAACTAGCGATCCGGCGGCATTATTCCCATGACCCGCCGGGCAGCGTCCGGGAAACCAAAGTCTTTGGGTTCCGGGGGGAGTATGGTTGCAAAGCTGAAACTTAAAGGAATTGACGGAAGGGCACCACCAGGAGTGGAGCCTGCAGCTTAATTTTACTCAACACGAGAAACCTCACCCGGCCCGGACACGGAAAGGATTGACAGATTGATAGCTCTTTCTCGATTCTGTGGGTGGTGGTGCATGGCCGTTCTTAGTTGGTGGAGCGATTTATCTGTTAATTCCGATAACGAACGAGACTCCGGCATGCTAACTAGTTACGCGGCCCCGTGCGGTCGGCGTCCAACTTCTTAGAGGGACAAGTGGCGTTCAGCCACAGGAGATTGAGCAATAACAGGTCTGTGACGCCCTTAGATGTCCGGGGCTGCACGCGCACCACACTGAGTGGATCAGCGTGTGTCTACCCTTCGCCGAGAGGAGTGGGTAACCCGCTGAACCCCACTCGTGATAGGGATTGGGGATTGCAATTATTTCCCATGAACGAGGAATTCCCAGTAAGCATGGGTCATAAGCTACCGATTGGATGGTTTAGTGAGGTTCTCGGATCGGCCCTGCCGGGGTCGGCAACGGCCCTCGCCGGGAAAAGTACAACTTTTCAGACAGTAAATGAACATTTCCATTCCATAGAATGCAGCAGTTACTAAATGTAAACAGAGTGGCAGAGCCAAGGTGTTTGTGAGAAAGATGTAGTAAATAATTTCGTATAAACTAAATCCAGACCAAGTATTGAGTGGAATTGCTTTATATAACATAGAAATACTTTTCAATAGACCAAAATTGATGAGTAGAAAATAATTTTAATGTAATCTAATATTTTAATTATCTGAGAACTCAATGTTGAGTTTTTTTATCTATTACCCATAACCAATAAAAATAACAAAAATAGATATTAATTTGAGGGTAATTAATTATTTTTTGACTAGATTCAATGAAATAAATAATAAACTAAACAAGATTATCTTTGATTCAGATATACCAATACACAATTAAAAGTTAAACTAACAATGGTGCAGAGGCACAGCTCAAGCACAATAATGGTTATCTTCTACTTCTGCAGCTGTTTGTTTATACCAGCAGAGTCAGAAGCAGTGGTTATTTCTGCATAACTTATTCTTAGTTTTTTTTTGTGCCTCTTTTGTCGTTTTCAGCTAAAAAGCTGTTAATTCATTACAAATACTTGATGCTCATATTGTCAATGTTTTATTTATATACAAAGTTACCTGAATTCAAAATACATTTAACTGAATTAGAATTTGTCTATATTACATATAATAGGTGCATAGAGGTAACATTTGTAACAAAATTGCACTATAAAATCCAACTTGTGTACATAGAAAATCCTATACAGCATATTTGGATACTTTAAAGCGATAACATTTAATGTATACATAAGTTAATGTGCTGAGATGGAAACTTGATTTCAGCTTGTTCTGGTGAAAACTGGACTCTTAAAGATTTTTTCTACTGCTATGTACACTTCCCATTTATGGAGAATGATGGACAATGATGAAATTAGGTGCTAAGATGGAGCAGTTTAAGTGAAAAGTTGTTTTTTGTTGCTGTACCCGTTAAACATGTTACATTGCAGAATATCATGAACATTTGTATGTGCATGTTATAAGACTACAGGTTTACTTATTATTCTCTCATACAAAAAAATGTAATAATTACACTCCATTGTACATCAGATTATTTGATTGATATTTGATGTTCCTAACACTGTACCTCACTCCCAATCTGCAAGTTTACTGGTAAGTCCTTGAAATTCTAAAAGTAGAATAAGAGATAGATCTTTTAGTTATCGGGCTCCTAGTTTCCATCTCCTAGTTTCAGTCTGTGGGACAGACTGTCAAATTTTAACACTCGGCTTTAAACTTTCCTTTTTATTGCTGTTTTTTTTTTACATTGGGCCCTTGATTTTACGTTATTACATCATATTCTACTCACCCATATGAGTTTTGTGTCATTTGGAGCGGTTCAGAAGATATTCCGTTAGGTTATACCCAAGTAACGTCTTCCTATGGGCAGTCGACTTGAAGGCACAAACGAAACTGTTCATAATTTATTCTTTATGGTACAGCAGCATTCATAACATGTATGAGAATCACTGTCCCCCAGACATCCGTGGTTATATTTTTCATATCTATATGTTTTAAAAACAAAGTGCCGTGTAATGTAAAAAAAACAGTGTTCTCCTTTAAAGTGGCTGAGGTTATTCTGGTTCTGCAGCAACAATTAAGTCTCCAGTATGTCTTTTACAAAGCAAAAACATCAGGATCAGTACTTCTGTCTCTCTTTTTCTGGAGTTTTTTTTTTTTTCTGAAAAAGTAAAAGTTGTCCCCAATGCTAAAGCAACATGAATGTTCAGTATGACGAATCGTTGCAAAGTTGATAACACAATTCAATTAGGTAAATTTCTGTCATTGTATGTTTTGGGGGGTTTTTTGGACGGGAAAAGTGCCAGACCTGATTTTCAAAAGAGAAAAACCTTGAAAACAAAAAATCCTGGGATTAAAGAAAAACAAATATATGCTTGCAAAGCTAAAATGACATTACTGTATAAGTCCAATTGTTTCAACTTCCTTAAGCTCATGTCTTTTTAATCTTGAAATGTCTTTAGTGAAGAGATAAGTTCAGTACCAGCAGCTTACTATCAGGACGGATTGATAGTGTTCCGTGGTTATGTCAGGGTTTGTTTAAGTATCCTCGTTTTTGTATGACTCATCTTCAGCAACCCAAGAAATGATTCCCTAAGGTCTAGAAATAATACTTGTAAATTTGTTTATCTCATTATTCCAGCCCTGCTGCCGGACATCCAGTGAGATGATTTACTGTCTGGTTTGTTTTCATCTGCCCCTGACCTGGCTGTTTCCTTCCACTCTGCATCTTTGCCATCCTTCACACAGATCTCATCCAACTCGGTGAACAGCTCATGGGAAACGTGCTCAGCATCCTCCTCTGCACCCAGGATGAACTGGACCCGCTGGGATGGTGTGTCTAATGGAGACACAGGTTGTGAGAGAAGCAGGGAGAGGTGAAGAGTTGTTTACTTATGTCCTTACTTATGTTTGCAGCAACTGTATGTTCACTTTTACACACAAACAGAAATCCATCCTGCAGATTGGTTCCTGTTCCAAGGTTAGTCTCTGTTCATTAGTAGCCTGTCCGTTTTACCTCACGTGTAGTTGTTATACAACAAAAGGGTTAACAAGATCTTTATACTGATGGGTTTTGTGGACTGGTGTGTTACCATGACTGCTGGCAGCTGCCTCACTTTCCTCGCTTTGCTGTGTCGTGATGCTTCCTGCCCTTTTATCTTTCTTACGGTGGCAGGATCCATGGGGTCTATGATGCCGATGGCTCTGTCTGGGCATCCGAACTCCCACAAACAGAGTCCTGTGTCCTGAGGAGAGACGTGAAGATTTTCTAAATGTGAAGAGTACTTCATGCTATCATTACAAACAGCCAAAAGCCAAGCAGTGAAAACAGCAAACAAGTGGAAGGTTGTTTTAATTAGATGGGACCAAAACAATTTTTGGGAGAAAATCATCAGCTTATATTAACTAGAACACATCAACCCAGTGCAAAATGGTTGTGGCAGCATTATGCTGAGGGGATCCTTTTTTTTAACAGGGGAAGTCGGTCAGAGTTGATCAATGTCATGATTAAACTCAGGACAACGTTGGTGCAAAAAACATAAACCTAATACCTCGCTTTAAAACATACAAGAATTCCACTATTATACTGAAATATTTGACTGGAATATTGTTAATGTAATAATCAACAGCAACTCTGGAGGTAAATAAACTAACTTGAGAATCTTAAGGTAAATGGGGAATCATTTTTTGTAACTAGCGCTGAAAAAGTGGGAATTAGAATCTGTCTTTATGCTTGCACTCATTTTAAATTGTTTAATAATATGGTTTTGTATACAATTTGTAAAAGACATGAGCTTTAAATGTTGATATGTAAATAGAGATTAACTAATTCGGGTTTTGTAAAACCATTACCTATTCTAAATATTCAGACATCAGTGTAGCAGATCCATAATATGTGCTGTAGATCTTTTAGTGCAGATTATGGAAGCTGAAATGTGTTTTTCTTCCTCTATTTACATGAAAAAAAATGACACAAATGATATTAAACATTAAATTTAAACAAGCACAAAACATCTATAAAAAAATAAAAGAAAACTTTAACAATTTATAACAAACAGAGGAATGCATGTGCTTCACATAATCTCAAAACATGGCTGCTGAATTAACAAAACAATCATCGTATGCAAGCATCCAGCAGCCGATGTGGATACAAGAAAAGAATGCAAGAATTTCTACATCTTATTTCCAGTGAAGTATTATGTATATTGATTACCAGTAAATTACCGGTAATCAAGTAATTCTTTGAATTACCAGTAAAGAACTACTCTTTCTCTGGGGTTAGAAGGGGCTCCTAAAGACCAATGTTTGTGTGCTCCTGTAAACTCAAAGTTGTTGAGGATGAATTTCATTTCATAAGTCATTCTCCTTTACATTATGATTTGAGGAGGTTTTTTTGTTGTTGTTTAAGGTGATTCACCAGAAAAATCCTAATGCATTTAAAGAGGAACATTTTGTTTTAACTAAATTTATCAAAGCGCTTAGCAACTGAAACACAGACTTTAGTGATTCACTTTTCTTATGTAATTTAGTTTGGTAAAAGTCTTGATGATCATCTTTCTTTTTTTGTGTCTGGTAGTTGCATAATTTCTTATAAGCCTACACAGGCTTGTTACCAAGTAATGGGGTATGATGTTTTAGTAGAATGTTTGATATTTTTTATTTGGTTACAATAAATTAAAGAATCACAAAAAATAAATGCAAATTTGAAAAGGCTATCCTGTATTTAGGTAGAGATGTGCTCAAGTCTGTTTCTGAGTCATAATTAGTTATTAGCACTATCTACTCTAATATTCAAAATGAAACAAAGAACATGCCTTTAAAGTGAAAAAAAATACATATTTGATTTTTAATAAAAACATATAAAACTGTCCTTAAAACTCATCAGTCAATCAGTTTTACATCTGCATCAGCTCTATTTGTGCCATTATTTAACTGTGGGCTGGGCCACCTAAAATCATTCCAAGGCTATAAATAGCCCACAGATCACACTCTAAACACCAATGGTTTAGTTTAAAACCTGATTATATTTCAGAATGGCCTGGGAAGAGCTGAATACAACTGCATGCCACACTTTTGAGATTTTTATATAGATAATATTTTATATATCTTTCACTTTGTTTTGGTCTAACACTTAAAATCCCTATAGAAGAAAGAGGAGTTTGTGGCTGTAAAGGAACAACAGGACTGACTGAATTTGTCCGTGGACCCATTTTGTACAAATCTATAAAGTAAAGTGATTGTGAAGGAGCATTTTTTAAAACTCAAACTGAACTGAATGAAGGAGTGGGATCAAGAGCAAGAGACAAAGTGTCCTGCATGTGTGAATTAGCTCTAATGGTAGATCTAAGATGCAGCTGAGTCAACAAATTAACCTAAGAAAATATATCTCTTTGCTGTTATGTTTACATACATGCTTCAGCTATCTCCAGATATATTTTTGGGGGGTTCGCTTATTTGAATTAGCTCTCCATGATTCATATAGGTAAACAGAACAAGATTGGCTACCCAACAGACCCTGAACATTTGAAGGACTGAAAGTGACAGGAAAGCCAGCTGAGCTTTAGGTGTTTGACTGAAGCTGGATGCTGCCAACTATAAATACTATCAGTGGATTTAACTTAAATGCAATGTGCTGAAACACTGATCACCTAAATGTGACGCTTATTTAAACTTCAAAGAAAAAACCCTTAAAAAAAGAAAAAGTAAGGGAAAGAATTTTAATACCTTCCATGTCAGGTTTGTATCAGTTTCTATAACTATGAAAGGCTGATACTCAAATAATAAATGAATTGAATAATGCAATCTTTTAGGCTTTTATTAAACTATTAAACATCTGTTTTAATAGTTTAATGGAGATTCAGGTACATCACAATCTAGATTCAAATAGATTCAAATAGTAAGCCAAAAAGAGTGTAGGTTTTAGAGATGTTATGAAATAAATAAATGTAATAAAAAACACAATAGAATTGGTTAACAACAGTTGTCAAAAATAGAAATGGAAAGAAACAACATATGGACTAACCATATTGAGGACCTAGTATACCAAAGGGCACATATACAGCAAAAAAGAGAGACGCAAAAAAAAAAATGTTTTAGTGATTTATTAGAACTTTAAGTACTACATAATGTAGTGGTACATGTCCTTGCTCCTGCAAAAGCAGAAACCAGTATGGCTATCTGTTTGGGATGATTGGGATTAATTAATTGTAGACTTCTGCTAACAATTAGTTTTCGGACAGAGCATCAGAATTTTTTCTTTTTACTTCTTAAGCATCTATGAAAATGAAATAGCATCATGAAGCAGTACTAAATGCTGCATCCAAACAAGAAGTGCCTTGGCTCATTCCAGTCAGGGCTGTTCCATTACAGTATGAGACCTTTGGAGGCTTTCCCTCTGCTTGTGTCTATTTTTGTCACAAATCAAAAACATGCTCAGCATCAGCTTTTGCAAACACCAGCTCCCTTTTGGCCCTGACCAGGACTATGCATCTACAGAAAATGGATGGATCAATGATCTGGCCCTATGATTCTGTTGATTTGTCCTGTTCGCTTTTTGTAATTCTGTTTTATTTTTCTGTGGTTTATGCCTTTCATTGTGGTGCATTTCCTTAATGTTTGAAGTATTTAATTTATCAAGGTTTATAAAACAATTTAAGAACAATCAGATGTTATTTGGGTGTACAGTCAGTGAAGTAAGTTACACTAATAGCAACCATTTCTTGAAAGTTAGCATAAATACAATGTCAAATTCTGCATTTTCTAAAATATATATGGGGGAACAGGCCTTACATTCCTGTTGTCCTATTTATATATATATATATATATATATATATATATATATATATATATATATATATATATATATATATATATATATATATATATATATATATATATATATATATATATATAAGATTATTTTACGACTTCGCCGCTCAGACCTCAGCAGTATACATTAGTGCGTATGTTTCTCCCCAGGCCTGAAACTGGTGGTGGATTGGACCCAGATGAAGTTGGTTCAGTCCATAGACTGCTGGTTGGCCAGATTATCTGCTGAGCTGCATTGGTGAGATCCAGTAGACTGCGTAAGTTGATTCTAGTACTTCACTCAGGACCCGGAAGATAGATGTCCAGCTTGGAAAAACACAGGTTTGCATGAAATTATCCATGGTGAGCAAGCAGGAAGCGAGAGTGGAGAGGAAAAGAAATCCCCTTTAGGAAGAAACCTCTGGCAGAGCCAGGCTGAACATGGCAGTCTTCTGCTCGACCGACTGAGATGTGACGGGGAATGCAGTAAAAGTCCAGGTGGATTACACTCTGATAGGGATGAGGTTAAAAAAGCACCATGGAAAATCCAGATGGAGCTTAGCTACAATAGCGGAGAAGAGGATTGAGGTGGATTGAATCGGAGCCATCTGAGTCAAAATCAGACATAGCACAACCACTGCTTGCGCTGGCTAGGTAGCAGGCTGAGTCGTGGATTTGAAGAGTTTTTAAGATGAACTCTGGATGCTGAAAGGGCTTTGTGGAGCTATGGTTCAAAGATGATTGGTTTGCGTCAGAGGCAGAGAGCATCTGATGATGAGGGCAAGTAATTTGGTTTCTTCAGTTGAACTTCGGCCTAGGCCTCATTTATGCATATACATGCATGAAAAACATTCCTAAATAAACAAACTCATTGAGACTATGCTACAGGTGGAGGTGACAGATTGTTTGGCTCAAGTGCTTTCAGCTGAGTCTCAATAGGAAACAAGGATGATAAATCCTGCTTTCTGTTCTAAACAATGTGACATTACTCAACTACATATATCTCTGAGTATCAAAAAAATGTTTTAAGTCTAAGAAACTAAAAATAACAAAAGTTCAAATATGGCTTTCTTTTTCTTCATGGGAAAAAATTATTTTCATGGGCATGAACACGCTTTTATATGTATCTTTATTTATAGTCATAAAATCATATGCTGGAGGGATCAAAAAGAGAAACCAATGCAAATTGTTCTGAAAAGACAACCAGATATATAAAACTGATACAATTTTCTAAATGTGTATTTTTCTCACCTTCTAGCTCCTCTTTCTCGTAATGAACATTCATCACAGAGCTGGTCCCTCCCTGGTCCACTACCACATCCTCATCAGGTCTCTGGCAGATACACACACACAGACACGCAGGCAGAAAACAGATCAGTTAACATCACAGTTCATTTTTGTTCCTGTTTTGGAGCAGATTACACCATTCTTTACAACAGGATGTCTTCAGTATACAGTGAACACTATTTTGGGTTTTCAAAATGGTAACTACATTCTTGCCAGTATTCTTGAAAAATACCCTGAAAAGTCAATAATATTTTGAGTTGAATCAGAATCAATTCCCTTCTTTATCTGTGGAATATTTTAAGATTATTCAGATTACATGCAGTGACTGCATCTGCATTTAGGTCCGACCTTGGACTGGATCTTTCTAAAAAATGCAGAGCTCTTCTGATCCTAACCATTCCACTGCGGCCATGGATACATACTCAGGGCTGCCGTCCTGCTAGAAGGCAAAGCGCCATCACTGTTTCAGATCTTTGCCAGCCTTTACCACATCTTCAAGAAGTGGGGAAGCAGCGCAGTCGCCCCATATGGGGTGCGCTCAGCATGTTCTGAAAACAGCACAACTCAGCTATGTTTGAAATTTAACATTATTTTGTTGCTCTTCTTTTTTAATCACATTTGCATTTCTAATTTCCTTTTGACATTGTCTAAAAGGAAATTAGAAATGAAAAGAAACATTAAAAAAATGTTAAGTATGTATGAGGTATAGGTGAATACTGACTTCTCCAGCCTATAGGTCAGAATTGGTAGCTCTTCTTATGACTCAGTAACCACGAATTAGCTCTCAGCCTTTAAAAGGTTGATGATTCTAGAACAATCTCCCCATATTTAGCTGAAATCATCTTTGCATTAAACTTGAACAGCCTTGTTGACCTTCTACCAACACCATATGTCCCAATGGCATGGTGTATTCAGGGTAAATATAAAAATTTTTTAATTAAATAAAAACATTATTCAATGCATTATTTAATTTACTCTCCATTAAGCAGTTTTGTGTAACATTGTGTAGGCTGATGTCTTATAACATAAAATACACAACATACCCCTAACTTTATGGTTGTAATGTATCAGAATGTGAAAGGGTTCAAGGGTATGAATATCTTTTAAGTTATTAAATGCCTGGAGGTTTTCTGACACGATTTGATTTAAGTCTTTCAAATAAAAGAAAGTTTGCAGATAATCCAGGCTCTGAGTTTCTTGTATAGACATATATTATTACACGTCAAGCGGCAATTAACACCAAGAGCACACAAAAAGATGCCGTCCGGAGGCATTAGGATGAGTTATTTGAGGAATGGACAGGACTCTGCTATCCAGGGTCATATAAATCAAATTACTAGAGTGCTGCATCCTTCAGTTGGACTTCTATTGGCAAACTGCTACTGGACCTTACTGCAGATGGTTTAACTATCACAGATAAAAATGCTGCAGCCTTCTCTTGATCTGTGGTGTTTGTTGTCCAATGTAATTTCATAGGTCTTATGACCAAAAGGGTATAATGTTATAAAAACTTCTAAGGGAAGTAACAGTATAACTGCACAATGTTTTTTTATTTCTCTGCATGAATGCGTAAAAATAGTTAATGCTTAACTTCTAGTTTGAAGTGACTGCATGCATACACTGTGTGCAGAATTATTAGGCAGGTTAATTTTTGAGGATTATTTTTATTATTGGGCCACAATTGTGTCCTCAATCAACCCAAAAGACTCCTTAATATCAAAGTCTAATATTTTTGGAAGTTTATATGTTTTTTCTGTTTTGTTTTTTAGATTTGGCCGTTTTATGAGGAGGTCTGTGTGTGCAGGTAAAAATTACTGTGCAGAATTATTAGGCAATGTAATAAAAGCCAAATATAAACCCATCTCACTTGTTTATTTTCACCAGGTAAACCAATATAATAACTCAAAATTCAGAAATAAACATTTGCAACATTCAAAAACTAAAAAACAAACAAATCAGTGACCAATATAGCCACCTTTCTTCACCATGACGCTCAAAAGCCTTCCATCCATAGATTCTGTCAGTGTCTTGATCTGTTTGCGATCCACATTGTGTGCAGCAGCCACCACAGCGTCCCAGACACTGTTCAGAGAGGTGGACCATTTTCCCTTCCTGTAGATCTCACATTTCATGAAGGACCACAGGTTCTCGATGGGGTTCAGATCAGGTGAACAAGGGGGCCATGTCATTATTTTTCTCCTTTTAGACTTCTCTGGCCAGCCATGCTGTGGTGTATTTTGATGCGTGTGATGGAGCATTGTCCTGCATGAATAACATGTTTTTCTTGAATGATGGCGAATTCTTCTTGTACCACTGTTTGAAGATGTCTTCCAGAAATTGGCAGTAGGTCTGGGAGTTGATCTGGACTCCTTCATTAACCTGAAAAGGTTCCACAAGCTCATCTTTGATGATACCAGCCCATACCAGTACCCCACCTCCACCTTGCATGCGTCTGAGTCGATAAGGAACTTGCTGCCCTTTACTGATCCAGCCTGGTGCCCATCCATCTGGCCCATCAAGACTCACTCTCATTTCATCAGACCTGGAGAAATCAGCCTTCAGATATTTCTTGGCCCATTGTTTGCGTTTTGTCTTGTGTCTCTTGTTCAAAGGTGGCCTTTTTTCAGCTTTCCTTACCTTGTCCAGGTCCCTGAGTATTGAGCACCTTGTGCTTCTCGGCACTCCAGACATGTTGCAGCTCTGAAATATGGCACAACTGGTGGCTAATTGCTTCCTGGCAGCTTCACGCTTGATCCTTCTCAATTCATGGGGAGTTACTTTGCGTCTTCTTTTTTTAACACGCTTCTTGCGTCCCTGTTGGCTATTTGCCAACTGCTGCACCCCTCTGAAAGACATCGGACAATTTTTGACCCTTCAGAGTCTGTCAGATCTCTTTTTTGACCCATTTGCCAAAGGAAAGGAAGTTGCCTAATAATTAAGCACACCTTATATAGGGTGTTGATGTCATTAGGCTACACCCCTTCTCATTACAGAGATGCTCACCACATGATTTACTTAAATCGTACTTGGCCTCCAAGCCTATACAGCTTGGAGTAGGACAAAATGCATGAAAAGGATCATGTGGTCGAAATACTCATTTGCCTAATAATTCTGCACACAGTGTACTGTTACAACTGTAAGAAGCAGCTAGAGCTGTTACAAGTAGTCACCAAAAAAAGTAAGCAAAAATAGACCTGAATGTCAAATAGTTAATAAAGCAGTATCTTGTGGTCTTTGGCTATTCTTTGACTGCAGCTAGATCACTGAAATGGAAAGACTGCAAGTTGTACAGGTCCAGTCAACAAACCCAGGACTGCAGGCTCACAGCAGCTCATGACTTCACAGCTGATCTGATTTTTATCCTCTAACACAGACTATATTGAGTCTTTATTGAGACTATATTGAGTTTATTGAGTCTTGTGTCTCTGCATAGAATGCCCTGACATCCTCTTGTACAAAAAGACATTCATCAGTTTCCTTGAAAATAATCATTCCACAGTAAAAGGTAAAAAGAAAACTTTAAATAAGTGTATTAAGTATGTTTGGTATTTTATTTTGTTTAGCTCTGTATGTAATTATTGGTCAAGTTCAGTAGAAGCTAACAACGTTTCTTTTTGTTACTGCATGAAAGACTTCCATTATTTAGACCTCATTATTTAATGTTTTATACATCGTTAAAATGGGTGCATGCTTACAGTCAATTAATCTAAAATTGTGTCAAAACCACATGAATCATGAAATGTAGGGTTAACTGAGAATATATTTTTAACTAAATGAAAAACTTTTGTAACTTTGCTTTAAACTTGTTTAAATTGTCTTTTGTTAAATGGAACCTTTGACTGCGTTACTGTGGCTCTGTGGGAAGAGTAATCCTCTTGCAGTCTTTGTCTTTTCTGTAATATTTGCAGCAATGCAAAACTAGGAGGAATTTTAATTCCATCCCACCATCTCATCCAGTAATGCAAAAACACCAACAGCATGAGTTGCTGAGTCGGAGTTCCTGTTGCTTAATTACGGAAAGCAATAACACCTTAAAACCTCTCAGAACCTGGCATGGATCCATTCTGGGCTCTCTAAATTACATCTTGATGCTATGTTGTTTTTTTTACAACACAGACTTCTTCCAGCTTCTTCCTCTGTAGTTGTTTTAGGGACATCCGATACCTCTTTACATGCCGAACTGCTTATATCCTAAATTTTTCATGGTGTGTTTAAATACACGTCTTATTTAGATTATTTGATTTTGTGGCCATACAAATGGTGGATAAATTTTTTTCACTCTGAATATGTTTTTTTTTTTTTTTTAACAGTGTCCTGTCTGGCAATGTGGCAATAAGAATAATTGTCAACAGATTTTACTTTCACAAGTGTAGCAGTAGGGCTATCGCCAAAGAGTTCTGCTTGTTTTATGCATATAAATTGCTTTAATATAATTATGCATGGAGTTTTACAGATTATATGGACACTGCAATGTAAGTAGAAAAGAAGAGGAAAAACAGAAAAAAGGACAAAAGATTAAAGAAATAGGAGATAAAAGGGAGATAATTGGATAATTATACCCATCCCCTACATAACGAATTTCAGTTCCTACCCTCTGGTTCCCGTTTTAGATACCCTCCAGTTCGGACCAACAGATACAAACACTCCTTTATTCCCTTTGCTCTTCAGCTGCTAAACTCTACGAGGAAAAGCAGATAGCCATATGTTGCATGCATTCAGGTCTATGCTCTCATTTGCACATATTTATTGACTTTTTATTATTTTTTACATTTCTGTCTCTTTTATCCACCTTACTTTTATCTTTTTTTAAATATTTATGTGTCTCTTGTCCTTCTTTTATTTTTTATCTGTGATTTGTGAAATGTGAACATGTGTGTGAAAGGTGTACTACTACTGCACAAAATTGCCCATACTGGGACAAATAAAAGCTACTGAACTGAACTGCAAAGAGATATAAAAAGAACAGCACAACCAACAGACATGGTACGAGACATACAATAAAGTAACACCTAGATACTATCGCTGAAGTAGTATTATTTAATCTGA